ATTTTTTTAATCTTCCATGTTTAATAACATCCTGTGCTTACCTGTGTATTCCTCACTCTTTGAATAAATGTTGATATGTGTCTGGATGTAATGCCTGGATTATGTTCCCCCTTGGTGATAATCGTCCTCCATAACAAGATAGTACTGCTATCTGGCTTATTGCATGTTACCAACCTTGAATAAGACAGATAATAAAGAGGCTAATCTAATATGTGGGCTTAACAATGGATACACCAAGAATAGGAGTGGGTCTGGCTCTAATACCATACCATGTTAAGGAAGTGGACAATTGGGCCTAACTCAACTCCAAAAGGTAGCTTAGTGCCAGATCATGCAATAAGATCTCTTTTTCCCTCTTTCCTTTAATTGTTTCAGATCATGCAATAAGATCTCTTTTTCCTTCTTTCCTTTAATTGTTTCAGTTAGCTTGTTATTAGGTTTTACATAGAAAATTGTCATCATTTTGTCAGGATGAATATACTAGAGCCTTTATAATTAAGACAGTTAATAGACAGATGGCAAAGATTGTTTCTGACTCTAAAATAGGAATTTAATAGTTGATTTTACCCTATTTAAATGGAATTCAAAACGGTGATTGCCACTCAAAATCTAGGGTCAGCTGAAATTTATTGGATATTTCAATGTTGTGGTTGTGAGTTGTGACTAAAATGGCCCAAATGTATAGCTGAGCAGTTCAAGGACCTGTGGAAATAATGTGCTTCAGATTTTTCTTATTTCAGTAATCAAATGCGGTGCTGCCTTATCTTTGAAATAATTTCTTGTGCTTCTACTCAATTTTCATTGTGTCAAGCACCCTAATCTTGCTATGACTTGTGAATTTACTCTCCTTAAGTGATTCTTTTGTGGTGGATGGTGCGCTAACAATCAGTTTTGCTCTTCAGGGACCACTGGGATTGTGGATTATACCAACTATGACGACATGAAATATGCTGTAAGTTATCTCCTCTTTCTTATTCTGTATATTATCCTCAATTTTTGTTCAAGATATATGAAATATGTTTATGCTCGACTAACAAGTGTAAATAATGTTCCTTGTATGTAGATAAAAAAACTTGATGAATCTGAGTTTCGGAATGCTTTTTCCCGTTCAACAATTCGGGTTTGATGTTTTTATAACTCAAATACTATGATTATAGGCTGCTTAGTGCCTTTTCTTTTGTTAGCCTATACCATTGTCTTATGCTTCATCAAAAAATATTGCATTGTCTTGTGTAGGTGAAAGAACATGATTCTAGAAGCCGCAGCCGCAGCCGTTCTTACTCGAGAGGAAAGAGTGGTAGCCGTAGCCACAGTTACAGTCGTAGCCGGAGCAGAAGGTGTGGATTATGTAGTTTGCAGGTTTTATAGTTTGTTACTTCACCTTTGAATGCTACTATGTATCTCATTGCTGCTCTCTTTCCTAGCAGCAAATCTCCTAAAGCTAAATCGTCAAAGCGTACAAGATCTCGTTCTAGATCCGTCTCTTCTCAGCCCCGTTCTGGGTTAAAAGGACGCTCTTTGTCAAGGTAATCTTCCTTACTGGTCATATGCTATCCATTTTGTTGTTGGGGCAGGTTATGTAAAAGTAGCATATAGTACAAGGTTAATGTATATTTTTATGCAAGTCCTTGTACTTGTCTTTTTTTGAGTCAAAAGTCCTTGTATCTATCAGTTTATTTGAATAATTTTAATCTTTTCGTTGTGAAAGCCACCTGGGAATTAACTGTTGCACCTTGCACCTCATTCATTTAGTGGGCAACCAGCTGAGCACTTTGTTTCCAACACTTAATCTTGACTAGACTTTGTATTGTTGTTGACATGAGATGGCTTTGAAGCAAAAAGTTGTTTTGCAGTGTGACCAATTTAGCATTTTTCACACAAGTTGCTTGTAAATTTGACAAATTCTAATTGCAAATCTCATCTGCAAAATGATTTTAATTGTTCCCCCTTCTTGATTTTTCGAGAAGCATTATTTTGGTTGTACATTATTTACGATAGATGTGGTAAGTTTTGGCCCCACAACGGCCTTCTTTCCCCGTATATATAGAGCAACAGATCATGTGTATTGCGTATGAACGTTAAGCTTCTAATCCCTCATTCAGTTAGGATCAATATCGTCCTTTCAAAATTGTAAGTGAACCTTTTGGAAATTTGTCAAGATTCTAGATCAACGTGCAATGGCTTAGTGGGTAACTGGTTAGCTGTCATTAGCTAATATGCTGCTCCTATTGTAGTTTCAAGAGGCCTTTTATTATGGTTAGGTACAATTCTACATCTTTTTTGGGTGGCATAGAGATGGCAAATGTTAATTTCATTCTGCTTCAGGGTGTGTCTATCCAAAAAAACCCAGTCTGCTTCAGGGTGATAAATCTTTTTGAACCTAAGCAATGTCAAACCATTTGATAAACCAGACAAGCTAGGGAACATCATAAGTGCAGAGTCCTGTACATCTGCTCTCGGTCCATAGGATTGTTGTTTTTCTTTTAATTATGCTGTGTCCAACTGTGATTGCAACTTCTGCTATTAGATATGTGGTCAACTGGTCATTCAGTTATAAAAAGATGTCTTGATACTGCATTTCAGAATCCATTAGAAACAAAATAGTTGTTGGGTGTTGGATTTAGAAGTTGGTTGTTCCTATGCTTCTTGCAACTTTTGCATTTTGGAAACGTCGGGAAAATATTCTGTGTTGTCAAGGTATCATTTATTGTTTCCTTTGTAAATATGAGAAATCACATTGTTGGTTTTTCTAGATGTTGGATATATACGAGGATCTTGGAATGCATATTAGGATCTTGAGTGGATATGGTCTTGCCTACAACAAATTTTGTTGTGGAGGTATGCTGTTTTCTAGATGGCAGCTTCGGAATCTTTTATGGTGTCTCTCCTCTAATGAGCATCATGAAATGTCCATCGATGCTAAGATTGGGAACAAGAAGATCATGGATTTTGATGGTCAAGCTGGACTGGCATACTAAAACTTCACTTTGAATTTGGGATCGCCATCTGGCAAGCTAATGAGACACTAATTGGTTCTTTCACTTCCTGTTAATTGGTCTTTAAACAACACAAACTTAAATTATTGACTAGAACTCTTCCTTAACTAGGTAACTTGCATGGCTTCATACTTGTCATTGTTTTCTCTTTGGGATGGTGAAATGGTTACGGGTTTCTGCATATCTACTTTGATTATGGCCACTCCGACGTGGAAGTGGCATCAAGGCAGTCGGATGAAAGTTGTTAAGCGGAAGGTTGGATATTAAATTGAGTTGTTTCTGGACATTTTGCAGATCTCCATCAAGATCCAGATCCCCAGTACCATCTGTAAGTCAAATGACTCTTTCTAAGATAAAAATGAAAGCTTGGAAATATTGTATCTGGTGGTAGAACTATTTTGTCTTGTTACATTTGTATTAAGATATTTGATTACACTCTTTTTTACTTGGAATCCTCTCTTTGTTTGTTGGCATTTTATATTTGACTGGATTGGTCTCAGCGCCCCAAACGTGTGAGTAAAAGCCCAAAACGTGCAAGCAAAAGCCCAAAGCCTCGCGACTCCAGGAGAAGTCAGAGCTTGAGTAAAAGCCCAAAACCTCATGATTCCAGGAGAAGCAAGAGTCCAAGCAAGAGCCCAAAACTGCGTGATTCCAGGAGAAGCAAGAGCATGAGTAAAAGCCCAGAGCCACGCAATTCCAGGAGGAGCCCGAGCAGGAGCAAAAGCCCCAAACCACGCAATTCCAGGAGAAGCCCTAGCAGGAGCCGCAGCCGGAGTCGCAGTGGGAGTTTGTCGAGGTCCTCTTGCTCATCTGGCCTTTTGTAGATTAATGAACAGTCATCCGGTTGCTTGAGGCATAACGTATCATAACTATTTTGTTGACTATTGATTACAATTTTACAGGTGAGAGCTGTGTTGTGGATTAAGCTGTTGCTGCTGGTTCTGAGATTGAGAGTGTGCTGCTGTGCCTGAATAGAGCAGCTGAGCTGTTGGTGTCATCTTTTCGGATAACTAGTCCAGATGAATGGCTTCTGAATTTCTTGGCCCATGACCAAAATAGAACTTAACTGTGAACCTTTCCTTCTCTATAGACTTGGGGAAGATTGCAGTATTCTAGTATTTTAAGAAAACTTTGCAGCATGTATGATTGCAAAAATTGAAAATTATGTCTTGGATTTTTGCAGATTTTGTTATTTGTTTCCTGCAGGTGAATGCTACTTATGTAATGACATTATTGTCTGCACTCTTGTGACTTTGTAAGTTCTTTTCCTGATTTGTTTCTGTTTTCCTGATGCAACAATGTACCCAGTGCAATCTCACAAGTAGGGTCTGGGAAGGGTGGTGTGTCATGCAACCTTACGCCCTGGTTTGCTGATGGCATAGGGCCTGTTACCTTAGATCTTTGTGATTGAAGGATGTTTATTTCCCTTCTGTGATAGCCCTATCTCGTCCGACTTCGAGAAATAGAACTGACTAGTTGTATCCATTCCTTGCCCCGAGTTTGTTATTCAACGCAACAATTCTTGAACAACTTAGAGGGCTGATCTTTTCCGCTCTATTAAGGAGATGAAGAACTACTCATAGGGCCTTTCTTTTCTTCCCTACCAACAGGTATGTCAATGGGTCTAGAAACTCCAAGCCACAATTTTTTGAACGACTTAAGAGTGGTCTTGTTTTCCGCCCTATTAAGGAGATGAAATCAACGATCAAATTTGAATTCAATTGTCAGCTGATTCTATCGAAAATAGAACTATTTTTGAAAGAAGTGTGGATCCCTCTGATTAAGAAGCTCTATTAGTTGTATAACAAGTTTGTACGCTGTTAATCTTTCTTGTGGACAACCTTGATATATTTGTGATGAGGGTAGCTTTCTTCCCCTTCCTTGTAAGGCGAAATGAAGCCACCTTATCCCATTGAGTGCTCTACCTCGGACCATCGACATCATAAATAGATTTCGAATTTAGGTAAATTTAGAATGACTAAACATATCGACGAAAGGGAAAACTTAGGACAGAATAGCTCATAGTGTTTTATTTCATACATAACATTGTGATCCACACTACACAAGACACTGAAGTATCTTTTTTAGGCAACATGGTACACAACAACTACAACCTTATAAAATATAGTTACTGAGAGTGAAGAAATCAAATAAGTACACACAAACAATTGAGTTTCGTTTCTTTTCCTCCTGGAGTTGAAGAAATAGATCACATATTTGTTATCTTTAAGACTTATTCACTGGGACAACACACCAAATCAAATGCCAAGTAGAAACAATTCAAGTTTTAGTCTTTGGTTTCTTCACAATCATCACACTGCAGTGGGCATGATGAGCACAGTAGTCACTTACACTACCCAAAACAGTCCTGCACAATCAATAATGAGTTTAGCACAATAACAAGTTTAAGTTATAAGCATTGATGGTGTAAATAAATTTGTATACAATCAGGCCACCTATAAAGTCAACAACAACATACCCAGTGAGATCTCACAAGCGAGGTTTTAAGAGGGTATAGTATACATAGATCTTAACCCCACCTTGTGCAAAGTAGAGAGACTGTTTTCGATAGATCCTCAGCTAATTATTTTTTTCCAGAAACAAGTTTGAAATACCAAGGAAAAGAAAAATAATATTAGTAATAGTAATGATAAGGAGAAGAGGGAGCATAATAGGTACTCCAACTAGAGCCACACTCTCTCAAAGAGAAATCGCTCGACTACTGACTAACTTTCTACCCTAATTCTCGACTTCTATGCTCTTCTATCTAATCTAAGGTCAGATCATCTATAAGGCCATCATGCAAAAACCTAGGTAATAAATGTTAACCGATATAGCCTGATGAAAATTGGAACCAACATGTTATAGAGTAAAATCGACAATGCTAGAATTATCATTGAGAATTACTCGTTAATTAGAAATATAAACAAGCTATATACTGTAAGCGTATATAAATTAAATTTACCTCTTTATAACTCCATAACCATGACAACCAACAACTAAAACAGAGGCATGAAGTTTCTCTACAGCTTCACAAAGGACATGCCTAGCATCACCTTCCACAAACTCAACTACAACATCATTCACCTACAAAATATTTAAAGAAATCAATCAAGTAGAATTAATGTTGTGTATAAAATAATTTTTTTTTGAAAAAAAGAGATTGTTTTAATAATAATAATAAATTACAGATTTTGCTTTGCATATCTCCATAGCTTTCTCTACAACCCTTGCAGCAATTTTCTTTAAATTAGACTCTATGGCTGAAAAAGCTTCCACACTCCCTACACAAGTCATAAAAAAAAGGAAAATCAAGACATAATTTACATATATTTTTGAGATTTTTCGAGCTAGTGAGCGATCTCAATTCGCGATAGAGAACAAGAACGTTCTTTAGTTATTTTTTCTTGCCTAGAGTGATTTGTTAATATAGTTTTCTATATATTATAACTAAAATTTAATTGTGTGATTTGTCTCATATTAAACTATTAGGAGAACATGCTTTTATTTATTTAATTGTTTCTTCACACCCCTCATGTGTTACCTATTTCTTTTTTCATAGAACAAGCATATAAAAATTCCTTTTTAATACTTTTGATAAATAATGTTAGTTTTGAACTCATCACCTCTATTCTACTCTAATACTAGATCGAATTGTGTGACCATTTCATTAACATGATTTTATAATTATAGAGACACTATTTTTTTTACCTAATTATATCTCAATTAGAAAATTAGTAAGTTTTTCAAACATGAGAAAAAATGATTTTTTCCATAAAAGTATTCAACAAATAGCATTCTACATTGACATGTCTTCCCTACTCTCCACACATCTCATCTTTCATAATAAATTATATTTAAATATTTTTAAATTAATACTTTTTACTTACGTATCAAATCGAAGAAAATAAATAAAAGACCACATTTCTTTCTGAAAAATACATCTTTCAAAGAGAACATTTTCCACCATACCAAATACAACAAATTTAATCATGAGGATTAAGAGTACTTTTCAATATGTGTCTTCAAAATCTCAAAAACTCACAACGTCTAATCAAATACTGTCATATAAATTGAAACGAAAAAAATAGTAAGACATACCAGGACCAGCAGAAAGACCAATGATGGAAGCAGGAGTAGGTTTAGCATGAAGAATAACAAGTTTAAAAGGAGAATTAGAATTATAATTTGTAAAAAAATGATCCAAAGTCCATTCTAATGCATAAAAACTATGTTGATTATCTTCTATTCCAACCACCATCACTGATTTTTCCTCTCCCATTTTTGCTATTCAATAATTTGAATTCAAAATTCTCTTCTTTTTTTTGTTAATAATAAAATAAAATATTTGATAAAAAAAGCAAAGTAAAAGTAGAGAATTTGAACACGAAATATAAAGGGATTATTATGGATTTGTTTTATTCTTATGTGATAGAATCCAATTCAATGAGTTGTTAGATAAAGAATCGAATTCTCTAGAATGTGATTCTAGAAAAAGACAAAAATAGATTCTAGCGCGGTGCTAGAATATATAAAGAAGTAAACACATGAAAAATTGAGGTCAAATATATTAAAACTTGATAAATTTTAAATTGAGTATATAAAGATATAATAAAATATTTTTATTAGATACTTTAATTCAAAATTTTAAAGAAAAATATTTGTATATATTTATAATCACGCCCTTTTTATTTATGCATATCAACTTTGATTAAAATCGAAAATGACATGTTAAAAACACCTTTATGTAAAAATAAAATACACACATAAATGCAAGAGCGAAGCTAGGTTGAGACTAGGAGGTTCAGATAAATCCCCTTCAATTGAAAAATTATACTATTATTTATATAGTAGTAATAATTGCAATTAAAAAAATCTTTTGACAATGTGTAGAAGGTTCTGATGGGAGAATGAAGATATTGTGATGCTAGAAAATTTTACTAATTATATCTAATACCAAATTCTACTTTAATTGAGCACGCAAACAATAATTTAAAATTACATATAAAAAGAAAATGAACTATTTATACATCTTATCATTTATCCTTAATAACATAAGTATAAATTAATAACTATTAAAATATATACCAAGATCTTTAACATAAGCAATGGTGTCAGTGAGCCACTCAACAAGAGAAAAATACACAAATATTTAATTGTGAAGAAGAAGAAGAAGAGATTCATAATTTTTATTGTTTTAAAATGAGAGGAAATCCCTCTATTTATAAACAACAAAAGGTAGTGTGAACAAATGTTTATTGTGCCTTATCGGAAAGGTTACAACTATTTGGAAAAGTTGCAACCCTTCGGAAAGGTCACAACCAACGTCACAACGTTTCATAAAAGTCACAACTTTTCATTAAAGTCACAACTCTTCATAAAAGTCGCAACTCTTCATTAAAGTCGCAGCTTTTCATAAAAGTCACAATTTTTCATAAATGTCACAACTTTTCAAAAAAGGAGAAGGATAATTTTGGAAATAAATAAATTAAAAGATAATTCTGATTTGTGATGGCGCCATGTAGGCGGGCCTAAGATTCTCTTATATATAAACATATACGTATGAAGATGACTTGCTAAATTTCACAATAGGGATCACACAAACAAAATCTTGAATGATGTATAGAAACAAATTGAACCCTTTATATTCTCGGAGCTAAAGTATATAAGGAATTCCTTTTTGTTTTTTTTTTCTAGTGAATTAAGACATCATCTTTTTATGTTGAAGATAGATTTGAATTCTTATAAAGAATAAGTATCGATTCCAATCGCTTTTAGTTAATATTCACTGTTGAAACTAGCCATATGGATGGAAGAAATATATATTATCCATTTCACTACGAGAGTTTGTCATTTTATTTGAAAATTAGCGTGTGATCATAAAGATTTTAAATACAATATGTTATATTTGGAATTTGATAAACACTTAAACTTAGGGGTGTACATGATCGGGTTGGTTCGGGTTTTTCAAATATCAAACCAAACCATTTGTGTCGGATTTTTAAATCTATAAACCAAACCAAACCAAACCAATAAAATTCGGGTTTTTTCAAAATTTTTCGGGTTTTTCTGCTAAAGTATTCATACAAACATATAATTTACTTGTACTTCAAATATTTCTTCAGTCCTACTAAAATACAACTATCTAAGGTGTTTCTTAAGAATACAACACAAACAATGATATGATTAATGACACTAAAATATCCAAAAATAATAATAATAATGAAATCGCGTAAAAAAAATATTGCAAATTAACAAGTCATAATGAAAATGATCATAATTAAAAGTACTAAATCATGCTAAAATAAGTTTAATAAGTATTAGTTACATGACTAAATATTAAAGGAAATTAAAATTAGATTATGTACTTTAATTGTCTAAACCAATGTAAAACCAAAGAACAAATATTCAATATTATTGTCATTCTTAGTGTTAAATTGATTTTCTTTTTGCATTAGTATTAATTTGATTTTGATTTAAGTTTTATTATAATTACCAACATCTATGAACTATAATCTTTATGGAACCATTCAAAATTCTAAGTTTCAAACTTGAAATAATATATTAAAAGATAAAAACTATGAAAAAGTATAAGAAATATTTAAAAATTATATCAAAGTAAATATTTTTATGTATAAAAAAAATTAAAATTATATATATAATGTTGGGTTAGTTTGGTCTTGAGTTGTTTTTTTTTAGTTAAAACCAAACCAACCCAAATATAGTCGGGTTTTTTTTTTCAATACCAAACCAAGTCAAACCAACCACTAGTCGGGTTTTTTTTTGATTTGACTCGATTTGCGGTTTGGTTCGGTTTTGTACACCCCTACCTAAAATTATATTTTCATTTTCACTTTTTAAAAAACAACCCCCATTGAAATTATATTTCATATTTTTAAAAAAAATACAATTCAAATTTTAAATACTTGTTACCAAATGAATGGAAAAAACACAATTTCAATATTAACTTTTGAACTTTAATTCGATTAAAATTGTTGTAATATTTCCTATCAAACAGCGCATCTGGTGTAGTGGTATCATAGTACCCTCCCACGGTACTGACCGGGGTTCGATTCCCCGGATGCGCAATCTAATTTTTAGTTTTATTTACGGTGCGTTCGCCGTTCGGTATGGATAGTCAAAAAGATTAATCTTTTTTTGAAAAAATAAGTTTTAAAATGAGAAAAGTAACGTTCATATTGAAAATATGAAAAATAAGTTCCACAAATAACGTTTTATATGTGTGTTCAGTATGGATAGTCAAAAAGATAGAAAAATCTTTTATGAAAAAATAAGTTTTAGAATGAGAAAAATAACTTTCATATTGAAATATGAAAAATAAGTTCCACAAATAACGTTTTATATTGATTCTATCCTCTCTGCTTTCATCTTCGCCCCACCCGTGTAAGTGATGTAACCCCATCATCTCACACCCCCAATAATAGCAATTACATTCCTAATGTATTCTCATAAATGAGGCTATGTAGAGGATATAATATACATAAACATTACTATTTACTCTTTATGGAATGAAAAAAATGTTTTATTAAACAATCACAACAAATCAGTATAATCTTACAAGTAGTGTTTAAAAAGAGTAAAATGTATTTATTTCTATCTTTATACGGTAGAGAGGTTATTTCCAATTGATGCTCGATATAAAGTGAATTTACTTTTGTATTCTATCAATTTATGATAATTAGTTATGTAAAACTATTTTTCTACATTATAAATTTTGCGTATACTCTAAACTAACCAAATTGGTTTGGCCAAAATAAGGTGACTAAATTGTTACAAAATGAATATTGAACGAACCTAAGCAAAATATCAAATGACTATAGTCGATACGATTCACTGATCACAAGAAGAATTCAATAAAAGAGAACGTCTTACGATATAACAAACACTCCAATCACAAGGATGATTAAGTAAAAAGTGTTGCACCAAAAAGCAAACAAATTACAAAATAAGGTTACTATGGCCTATATTTTATTAAACCTACTAGTAATACATAGACCATACTTTGCTCCTCAGCTTACGAGATATTAGCAGCCGTTTCCAGCTATTGTTTCTAAATCTTACTATTTAGTCAACTCAAGTGACTTAGCCCAAGCTGGCCTAGCCAAGATATCAGCAACCCAAGCACTAACATGAGGCCTAGAATTGAACAAGCTCTTCATTTTAGTCCCAATCAAGTAGTGCAAAACCGGGGCGTGGTGCAAATCAGCTAGGGTAAAACTATCACCACCCAAATATTTCGAATTCTTGAATCTAGATTCATAAACGTCGAGAAGTTTGCTAAGTTTTTCTTCGTTCTCCGTCACGATTGCATCATCACTCACCATGCCCAACATTGGCTTGATGACAATCTCATAGCTTAGTTTTGAACCAACAGGGTCAAATTTTTGGGCTTCAACTTCAATCCATACAGACATGATTGCCAATTTCTTTGGGTCATTTGGTAAGAGTTGGTTCCCTTTGTCACCATATGTGTGAGCTATGTATTGTGTAATAGCTCTTGACTCTGCATTCACAATAATTCACAAAAATCAACATCTATCGAAAACATTCTCTCTACCACACAAAGGTAGAGAATAAGGTCTGCATACATACCATCCTCCCCAAACCCCCTTATGAGACTATACTGAATATGTGACAAACATAGTATACAAGTTGTGTGTTCATTCGAACCAGTAACTTCTACTGAGATCTTGTAAACCAACGAAAAATGATAAATTGGAGTATTTGATCCTTAAATAGGTCGTACATTGACATAATATAGTTTGAAAAACGATTTTCTTGAGGTCTGCATACAATCTATCCTCTCCGGACCCCACCTGAGGGACTATACTGATTACTGGGTATGTTGTTTGCACAAATTCAAATTAGTTGAATTTATTTGAGACAATTGTAGTATATAACTAATGGTTCAACTAAATATGAGGTGAACCAGCTAGTATACATGTTATGTGTTCATTTTGAACCAATAACTTTTACTTCGGTCAAGTAAATCAAATGAGTTGTGGTAATAAATCAAAACTCGAGCTTATAAAGTTCAAATCCTGAAAATCACAAATATTTGAAAAAAATATTAAATTATGAATGCGTAAAAAAAAGTTAACTTACCAAAAAGCTTGAGATCTCCATCTTCAAAAGCAGGAACTTGACCAAATGGCTGAATTAACAATCAAAAGACAATTATAAGTAGATACTCTTTAATTTAAAATTTGATTAATGAGCAAGATTAACGCTAGCGACATATAATTTCATTTAAACATAAAATCTATCGAAAACAACATATTTGCACCAAATTAAAGGTAGATACCCTCCCCATCCCACTCGTGGAATTACACTAAATATATGTTGTTATTGTTTATCTAAAGTCCCAATTAATATAAATTCGCCCAATTAATAAAAGATGAATCTATCCCCTACCGATTCATTTGAATCCAATATTTTCAGACACTGAATGTACATAGTCTAATTTTTTCTTATATATATAAAATACAATTTTTTGATGAAAAACGTCTATTCTGTATAAATATAATAAATCGAATCTATTCGAAACCAACAACTATTAGTCAAAAAAGAAAGATAAAAACAATGCTATAATATAATAATATATTTCACCGGATATGTTGTTACATACATTTATGGAAATGAATGGTTCCTTTTTATGGTCACCCTTTTGCAAATCAACATGAATAAATTCAAAATCAAGATTTTTCTCATTGAGTGTAGCTACAACTCTCACAACAGCAGGTGACAACATAGGGCCATGAACCTTAATAGCCATTATTGCTACTAAAAAATGAAATTTGTATGACAAAAAAATGTTGAATGATGAGTTGAAAGCATGTGTTGGGTGTAGTATAAATATAATAGACCAATAATTAATGTTATTTGCACTTTTTAGGAGAAAGTCAAGAAAGAAATTTCTAGAATATTATACTATTAATTATGAAGAATATTACGTATGGGCATACATCACATAATGATGTCATTCACTATGTCCAAAATAATAATAATAATAATAATAATAATAATAATAATAATAATAAAAGCTGAATTAAATGACATTTGTTTGTACTTAAGTATTAAATTATTAAAAGAAATTTTCAATAATTTATATATTTAGAAATCACATAAGTATTATTAGTTATAATAATTAACAACTTAAAATATTTTAAGAAATCATATAAAAAATTTGCGGTCAAATAAAATTTTGATTTTCACTCTTCAAAATTCATTTATGCTACATAAATTAAAACGTAGGGAGTAAAGATAATTTTAATAATTATAAAGGAATTTTAAATAATTTATATATTTATAAATTACATTAAAAGTATTATGATCACAATAATTAAAACTTACATTACTTTAAAAAAATTCAAATAAAAAAATTGATCTACTCTTGAAATCGATTTGTAATATATAAATTGAGATAGAAAAGTAACACGTATTGTATTTTATTTTATTTTCTCATTTTTGGATGATCAGTAACTTGAAAATCATTTTTTGAAAACAAGTTACTTGAAAATGAGAAAAAAGCCTTTGATATTGAAAACATGAAAGTAATTCTACAAATGTGTAATGGCGTTTCATATTGATTATATCCTCCTCATATTTCAACACACTCCACTAATTAGTATTCCTTTGTATATATCATTTTATATGACTCACTTTTCTTTTTAGTCTGTCTAAAAAAATTACATTTTTCTATATTAGTAGTAATAATTTAACTTTAAAATGCTCATTTACAGTTAATGAAATGATTTATAGTCATACAAACATCTATAACTTGTTTTAGATCACAATTTTTTTTTTTTTTTTTGTTGTTGATAAATTCCATACTAAGTTAAATTATATCATATAAACGGAAAATAGTTACACAACACAAAAACAAAAAAGTTAAAAAGAGAAAAGGTTCATGTAATTTTATTAAGTGGTGCAATTTTGATATGGGTGTCATTTTATTGAGTGGTACAATGTATTGGTTCTTTGTTTAAGGATTCTTTATTTGTCAAATAATAATTGAATGAACGTGAGATAATGTTAGTCATAACCTCCTTTAATAATTTTGAGGACAACTACCTTAATTTAGTAATTTTTTTGTATATGGGGTAGGTATATAGACTTCAACGAGAACAAGTTCTACTAAACTTCAATATTTTTCTTTGCATTTTTTAAGAATTTAGTACAAAAAATTAGAGTACATCTAATCTAAAACAAAAATAGGAGTTAATGTTGAGAATACAATTTTAAATACATTTAACTTTGCTCAAACAATTGCAAGTGGTTTTGTGTTGTCTACTATTCAATTTAATAAAGCTTTTCACCTTTTTGAGATTTGGGCAATGTTTGTTGACTTTGAAAAAATCACAATAAACTCAGTATTCCTCCACCCTTTTTACTTGGAAAATATTTTATAATTTGATTTTCCTTTTTTACTTAACATGAAGAAACACTTTTTTCTTTTTATTATATCCTCAATTTATTTTTTATTAATATTGAGTTGATGTCTTTATATAGTGAATAAATATGTTTAAGACTCTATCAATTAATAAAGATAAAATGATAAACTCACTCTATCAATCATTGTTTACTTAATAGGTGTACCAAGTCGAAATTTGACAAGTAAAAAAAGGACGAAGGGAGTAGAATTTTATAGATTGACAGTTCGGTAGAAGCTAATATGTCACAATTTTACTCGAATTTTTATAAGGAAAAGACACTATTTTTGATTGATAATTCACAATCTCCTTTTTTATTTAGACTTAGATCTGACAATGTGAAACTTAAAAAAAAAAGAAAAAGGAGTACCTTAAATTCACATTTAAATAATATTTGGAAATTATTTTTTCATAAAGAATTATATGTGGGCACTAAAGTTTGAGCAAGTGGCTTTGAGTGTGATTGATTGTTGCAATGTCCAAACTTATTAATAGTGGTCACTTTTAAAAAGCTGTCCTTATAGCCATTTAAAATAATATCCCTAAACTATTGCATTTGAGTTTAATTTAATTTGTTGCATTTTGAAAATGACATTCGAAATGATGCTTCAATTGCGTTATAAGTAGAAGGAGCTGGTACAAAATCTTCTTATATAAGGCTCGAAAATTAATCTAAGATCTCTATAGAAAGGAAAATCGAAGTCACAAAATGAACCTACTACGAGAGATTCATTGTCACAATTTCAAAAGAGTATTAAGTCGATAGGATTCACACACACGACGAATTCAATTAGAGAGAACGTCTTACGATACAAGAAAGATAGGAAGAAAAAAAAGAGTGCACCACAAAGCAAAAAATTACAAAAGTGTTACTTATGGCCTAAATTTATTAACCTACTAGTAATACATAGGCCATATTTTGCTCCTCAGCCTACGAGCGTAGGCATTAGCAGCCGTTTCCAACTGTTGTTCCCCCTTCCTTCCAACGCGTTACTCAACCATCCGCCACTAATCTTACTGTTTTGACAACTCAAGTGTCTTAGACCAAGCTGGCCTAGCCAAGATATCAGCACACCAAGCACTAACATGAGGCCTAGCATCGAACAAGCTCTTCACTTTACTCCCCATCAAGTAGTGCAAAGACGGGGCGTGGTGCAAATCAGCTAGAGTAAAACTCTCACCACCCAAATATTTCGATTCCTTGAGTCTAGATTCATACACATCAAGAAGTTTCCCGAGTTTCTCTTCGTTCTCTGCCACGACTGCATCATCAGTCACCATGCCCAACATTGGCTTAATCACAATCTCAAAGCCTAGTTTTGAACCAATGGGGTCGAATTTCTGGGCTTCTACTTCCATCCATACTGACATGATTGCCATTTTTTTTGGGTCATTAGGTAAGAGTTGGGTCCCTTTGTCTGCATATGTGTGAGCTATGTATTGTGTAATGGCTCTTGACTCTGCATTCACAATAATTCATATATCAAAACCAAAGAAAGAAGTGTGTTTCAAGTGAATTCAATATTAATTATGTGATGATTTACATTGAATTGGGGAAAGATTTCATGGTACTTATATGCCGAGCATCTATCGGAAACAACCTCTCTATCTTCAAATCAACAAAAATCAACAAGGTAGAAGGTCAAGTTAAATTTTGAACCACTCAACGACTAAGTCAACCACTAATCTTACATTCAGGAGGTTCAAATCAATATACACATAAAATAATTAAAAAATATCCCATATATACAATGTAATTTTTTGCCAAACGACTACCTCTTAGCCATTCCTGATCCTAAAGGATATGTCCGGTCTTCTATCGTTCTTCATTTAAATACTAGACATAGTTCACTTGGCGTAGGGATCGAACTTGTGAGTTAAAGACACATGTCCCTCAACCTTTAGGCATAGATTAAGGGGGAACTTACCAAAAAGCTTGAGATCTCCATCTTCAAAAGCTGGAACTTGACCAAATGGCTGCATAAATCAAACAAAATTTTAAGTAGATACTCTTTTTCTTGACTCAAATCATACAATTACAATTACAATTGCAGTTTCTCGACTCGAATCATATAATATATATATATATGGAGAACAGAGCCGGAGCCAGTATTAGGAGTTTGGGATTCTAAATTTCTTTCCCCTTACTTACAATTGAGTTGTCAACAATTTTGTTGGGAGTTCACAAGTTAATGTACATATATATTTACTTAATTTTCTAGTACAAGTAGAAGTACTACAGAACGTCCGAACCCACGAACCCTCACCTAGAACAGAGCTGGAGCCCGTATTGGGGGTTCTAAATTTCTTTCTCCTTCCTTACCATTGAGTTGTCAATCAGTTTTATTAAAAATTCACAGGTTAATATATATATATATATATATTTACTTAACTTTCTACTACAAATACAAGGTCTACAGAGAAACTACTGGATTCGTCCAAACCCACGAACCCTCACCTAGAACAGAGCCGGAGCCAGTATTGGGGATTCTAACCATTGAGCTGTCAATCAGTTGTATTAACACAACTATAGATTTACCGTAAAGTATAACATTCAAATCTGTGACCTAATAATAAATCGAATCGATTCGAAAACACAGTAACTGTAAATTAAAAAAAAGCAGAGGAAAGGAAAAGAGTTATAATACTATGGAAAATTGACATACATTTAGGGAAATGAATGGTTCCTTTTTGTGATCACCAGTTTGCATATTGACAGGAACAAGTTCAAAATCAAGATCTTTCTCTTTGAGTGTAGCTACGACTCTCATAACAGCAGGTGACATCATAGGGCCATGGACCTTGATCGCCATTTTTTTCTAGCTCTAGAGAGAGAAAGTGAAGAAATTGGGAGTAGAAAATGAATTTGTTGTGTGAGAAGAGAAAACGTGTAATGATGAGTAGAAAACATGTGGTGGAGTATAGCATATATAGATCCAATAACTAAGGGACCTTTTGGTCAACAAAATTATGAATATTACTTTTTTTTATTATTTTTTTTAACTTTCATTCGGTGTTTGCTACTCGTAAATTGTAATAGAGCTTGATTATTTTGAATTTGTACTGATTTGAATTCGAGATATCTGATTAAAAAAGGAATAGTCTCATCTGCTGCATTACCTACGTTGATGGTTAAAAAGAACTGGTCTTATTTTTAATATGAAAAAAATATATTTAAAAATTGAAGTTGTGTTTCGATATAAATATAATTGGAATTATTTTAAATTATTGCCTACTTCCTTCTAGATGACCTAATGGAAAGAAGTGGTAGGTGGAACAGTATTTATCCAACATGTGTGGTGATATAGTTGAAAGTTCTTCTTACATTTATTGAGAGTAGAAT